ATCCGGCGTTTGTGGCGTTATGACGTGCCATCCACTACCGTGAGTACGGTCAAAGCCACCATTTCGCCGAGCAAGATGGGATCTCCTCCAGAATGGGATCTCATAGTTTCAATCAACTACTAAATAATATCGTCGTCTGAAAATCCTAACGTCCCTTCTAACGTCCTCCTTTCGAAAATATAAATATAATCTCGTACTACAACTCTCGCGCATCTTTTTTAGAAATCTAATCCCAAAGCTCCTCTCCCTTCAGGGAGGAAAAGGAAAATGGGAAATTATTTTACTCGAAAGCGTGACTCGAAAACTCTTGTGACCTAGTGGACAATGCGCTATTTTTAATTTTCGCAACGAGTTTGCGCCTGTGAGTATATCTAAAGCATCCTGTACGACGTCTTCGGGTTCGATCGAGCGTGGTGCATTTAAGGGTAAGATGTAACGGGGAATAGAGATGCGCGAGGGACATGAAGAGCATATATGCAGCAGCTGTCTGTCTTCCAAGTGGCATTAATAGGTCTTTGTTTTGCTGCACAGAGAGGGAAGAGTGAGATGTAGAGGGAAGGAGAGAGAGAGAGAGAGAGAGAGAGAGATATGCCAAGTGCGTCGTTCGCGCGGTTCTATTATTCGAATGTGGAGCAGATATCGGTTGTCGATATTGCCATTCGCCCGTCTAAATATCCGATCGATCGATCCCTTTTCTCGCGTCTCTGTAATCACCCCGGCACCCTTCGAGAGCACCGTTTCAACCATTCTCTCTCCCTTTCGGTCTTTCTTCGTGCGTCTTCCGCCGACGGCAATTCCGTATTCTCGCCTCGACTTCCTCCTCATCTATTCTCCATCTCTTTCTCTCTTTCTTTCTCCTTCTCTCACCGTGAACGGTCGTTATCGCGAACGGCAACCTAACTCGTGATAATGAGCTCACGTCGGCATACGGCACGTATCGCTCGATCCAACAATACCGAATGATCGTTCCCGCTGGAGACGGAAACGCCACGCTTTTCTCTCCTCGCTTTTGGATATACGTTAATCGCGCCAATGGCTTGGCGAAAAAAGCGCCGACTTGAACTACTGGAAAAGTTCAACGCTGTATCGCGGTTTGCACAGAAGAATATCTGAGCATTAAAAGCTGAGCTAAAATACGGTGTATCGTCTATCGCTTTATGACAATGATTTGATAAAGACATAATTAAAAGATCTTTTACAGATTACTACAATCGCGCTACAAGAATACTTTTGTTCATTACATTTATGAAGTGCACTTTGAATAATTCTCTCTGTTGCTGTGTGCCCGGCAAAATTGTTCGATGCCACTTTGGATATACACAGCTTTATTTTTTCAATGGTGTTTTTTTCATTGTTTATGACTTTTTTTTATCAATAAAAATACACACATGGCATTTGCTTGGTACATTAAAAAAATTTACTAAATTTTATTTTTTTTGTGAGTAAACATTTACTTACAATAAGTAAATATCCACTCAATAAAAAATGAAAGTTGAATCAAATTAATGTTCTTATCCTAAATAAATATATGTTTACATGTAGTAAATATTTACTTAGAATTATTCAAATATTTATAATATTAAAATTTAATATATCTTTTTCAATGTACTATTATATTTATAAAAGTTATGAGCAATCAAATTGGATCATAAACTTCAATAATAAGCCGATGTAAGCTGATACAAAATAACAAGGTATAGAAATTTTTTATTTCGACTAAAATAGACGTTTCGATCCTTAGTTTTGGGTCATCATCTTCAGAGCCAACGAATTAACAATTAAATACTAAATGTCATATTTAAAATCGATAGAAGTCGAGAAACTTTAGTGATGGGTGTCAATCAAAAACATCACGTATTAAAATTTCAAATATAAAAGTCTAGAAATAAAAATCGTCAAATATCTTACTGAGATAAACGTCCCAGTGATCGGACATGCACCTACCTATGTCCGAACACAAAATTTATTATTAATCTCAAAGATTTTCTTTTATTACAATATATCTTTTATTATAATAAAGATAATATTATAACTTAATTGTAATCTTTAAATATAATAATTTAATTGTATTTAAGGATTAAAATTAAATTATAATATTATATTTTACATAGATACATATCCGATCTGAGACGTTTATCTTATTTGGCAGAATACTTGAATAATAAGTCAGAAATTAAACTGGAATATTAAAACAAAACTACTTTAATATACAATACAAATTAATTAAAAACTTATGATGAAAGACCAATCGAATTGAATATTAGGTATATACGTCATATTAAATCAAGTGCGTCGTTCTCATAACGTTAACACACCGAAGGGTTAAATTTTTTTTCTAGAGCATTCTAGAGCCTATAAAAGCGAAAAAATTAAAGCTGGAAAAACGTCGCAGTTTGTGCTGGATAGAAATGGAATAGTGACGTCTCTCTACGGGGATATCCACTCACATTGATTATCGAGCGCACGATGAACAGATAAGTCTCCCTCTCGTTGAAACGGTAATTTAATTATTCCCTAGTCGCTTCTTCATTTCCACAGCGCGCTTTCGGATTCCGTTTTCCTCACATCCATGCCTGCGACACGTCGTCACGTTATCACGACTGTCGGCTGCCGACGATAATGAGCTCGCGAGTGTTGCCCACCAGGCGATCCACGGCGATGTCGGATAATACCGCGGATACGATGCGAAGCGAGAATACAGAGAGGCTGCGGAGAGTCCATCGGGCGTTCCGGATATTCCGATCGCGGGACGTATTGGCACACGATAAACCAGCAGGCAGTTGTAGCCAAGTCAATTGACTTAACTGCCACGTATATCTCCAATGTGGCGGGAGTTTATATGCGACGCGACAGTTTTGTTCTACAAAAGAATGTTCTACTATATCGTTCGACAAGAGTCGTTATCAGAGCGCACGCGGCGAAGGCCCAGTCTTTTGAGGCTTTTCTTTGAGTGACGAGGCGCCTTTGCATGATTGAAAGATTAAAATAAGCGTGTCTTTTTTATGTTATGTCATTCGATTTGAATTTTAGATATATGACCTGTCAGAAAACTCCTGTGTTACCTCGCAATAAATACTTGGGAAACTAATGATCATAAAATTTGAAATACTACTTATTGTTAGACCGTATTCATAAACGGTTCTTATTTTAAATCCGATTTAAGTAATGTTTTAAAATGCTAATATGACTCTGTGATTAGTTCACGACGTCTTAAGAATACTCTCTACATTCTTTGAAGAAATCTTACTTTAAAAAGTGAAATTAAGCCAGCCTTAAAAAAGAATGGCTCAATTTTCAATCTTTAAAAGTGTTATAAGATTTCATTCTTCAAAAGGGACAATTCACTCTAAAAGTTTTAGAGGGTACACTTAGCCATCTAGACACGGCATCATCTTGTTAGAGAAACATTCTTTTCACTGTTTTTGCTAAAAAAAATGCGCAAATTTATCGATTATGATGAAAAAAAAGATCTACTCATACAAACATTTCTGAACAGCTGAGTAAGATTTTGTTTTAGCGACCGCCATTTTGCGGCGACAAATTAAACTATCATATTACTAAAAATATAAAGGCGGCTGATACAATGTGTAGAACGATATGAAAACGCGTTCTCGATATGAGCACACCTTACTTTCTTTCCATCATGACATCAATATATATATATATATATTTACACTATTAATATATATCAATATATAACCTTTCTGGCAATTAGAAGTATTATATTTCAGTGTTCAATACATATATTTCTACATATATTTCTATCTTTTATTAAATGTAACCTACACAGATCACAATTTTTCCCGAAAATTTTATTTTAATTTAAAAATAAACGTTAGAGATACATGGCTGTCACAAATTCTTCACCCCAAAATTCCATAACTTTTCCCTTATTTTCAGACAAAATTTCATAATTTTTCCCTAATACTTTCAATAACACTTTGAAATTTCTTATATTTTCGTCCTGATTTGAAAATCGTCAAATAATTTATTATTTGATTTATTTAGCACAGCAATGTAAATTACTATTAATGCTATTGACACTGCTTGCATTTAATTAGTGTGTAGTATTTCTAAACTGCGTAGGTGTAATGTGTTCATAAATTAAGAATTTTAATTTTACAAAAAATTTTGCAAAATTCCTCGAATTTTCCCTGATTTCTTTGATCGTTTCAAGTCCCTGATATTTCCCTGATTTCCAATTTTGTAGCAATCCTGATGTTACATATACAAAATTCGTCCCTAGAGGATCAAAAACAGTATAAAATATAAGAATCAACTATAAATACCGGCCTTAAAGACTCTTTAAGAATCTTTGTCTTCAAGAATATCGAAAATTGGAATTGAAATCCTAAAAATATCGTCCTTGAAATTTTTATAGGCAACCTAAGTAAAAACATTGAAGGGGACAATCGATATTTTTATTTAAATTGCCTTGAAATTCGAAAATAATGAAAGGATTGGAAATCGATGATGGCCATAGGAGTACGTCGGTACCTCGTAAAATCTGTTGCGCCACAGTATTCACTTTATCCTGCACTTTGGGCTTCCGAGGGAATAGTCGAGTATCTCATTCTAGCTATCAACGAAAAGGCCGACGGATTATTGCGCCGGTCGGTATTTATCCGACGGATTATCCACGATTACTTGACTCGTGCGGCCAGGAAACCCGCACGCCCGAGTGTAAGGCCAACACAGTCGAAAATTAACCAATCCCGTTCAAGGGTTTGGCAGTTTGCGGCATTTTTGTGTGGTTTTCGCGAACGCCGAAGATTGGGAAACATTGGTCAAAACCTTTCGACGAGCATCGTTAACTTCAATATCTCGAATGCGAGCTGGAGAAAGAGTAAATTCGACACGCGCGAACAATTCTCGCAATTTGTCAAGTTCAAGACGAAGATCACGACGAAACTACACGTTAATTCGTCAGTTAATCCGAAGCGTTAGACGCGACGGCCTTGGTTGGATTAAATACGAAACGTCTGACAGAAGATACTAACCATGCTCCACGTAATAACTGGTCTCGTTGTACCGCTCGTCCGTGAATCCCGGCCTCTTCGCTTTCAGTGCTTTCGTTTCCAATTTTGCCTGGAACAAAGAACGCAGTAGATAAGTGACCGGAGTGGTCAGCCCGTGGCTACATGCAACTTCGCGGTGTCCGATATACATGGAATAACTGCGCTATGCACGGACGTAAAAGACGTAAAACAATAGAGATTCATGAAACAATAGCGGGGCTTTGACACTGAAAAAGGTAGTGACACTCAAAAATGATGAGAATGAATAAATGTCGTTCTTGGTGATAATGAGGCAAAAATACACGGTGAGAATATCCCTAGCTATCAAGCGTCCTTAACTTCGAGAGAGCAAATTGTATTTTTGCCGGGAACGCTCGCGACCACGCTCTAGTTTTTACTCCGCTGAATAATATCCGCGGTAAAAATCGCGGTTATGTCGGATTTATGGTGGACCCGATTAAAAACGGAGATATACATGCCGACGTTATTTGTCACTTGCGACTGAAATAAAGGGCGTAGTAGATAAGTGGAAGAGTCAGACTGGCGGCTCCATACGCCGTGTACACGAGAGAGCCTGACGTATGGCGACGATAAATTTATCATACAAAAAATGCAAGCATTTCCAGACAATAAGAGTGCACGAGACCACGCGACAACAGCGGGTAGTAGAAAATAGAAACTTACGGCGTGGTTTCGCGTGCATTGTGGCCCGCAGCAAGCTGGCATCCGTTTATTGAATTAACATGTGGACGTTTATTTATGGCGTTTATTTACGAGAAAGAATTACGCGGGATCTCATCCGTCAAAATGGATCGGTCGCAAAGAATGGCGGTACGACGTACGTTTTAGAAATGCATTATAGAATTTAAGATCTCATTAGGAGAAAGCACCAGGGTGCACCAATATGAATCCCGATAGCGACGATAAATCTTTCAAACGACCGAAAGTTCTATCGTTCGCACCGCGAAAACCCGCGAAATTTTCTTAACGGCACGCTCGACACGTGCTCGCCGAAAGAAATGGCCTCAAATTTAGTTCATTTTGTGGTTGAATTTTGAAATCAAATTGTATGCCAAACGATGCTATATGAAGAGATATAAATCTAAAAAAAAAATTAAGTTGAGCATGGACTTAGTTTTGTAGATAAGAAAAGATTTTTAGGAGAAGATTTTTTTGTGCAGAATTTCAAGACAAATAACTTTTATCTTAAACATCTTTTTATATGTGCGCATTCGTTTTTGAAAAATTTAATTATAATTTTTTGGAGGCAGTTTTATTTTATTTTTTTTTAATTAAGCAATAGGATTGGAGGAGTCAGAAAACTATTCTAACTAATTCTAGTCAAAATCCTACTATTATCAAAGAAATATTAACTTTCTTTTTGTGTCTAAGTGCTTGAACAATATTGGAAACATTGAGAATTTGACCAATTTGACTCCCTATTTTAACTTTCCAAAACTACTCCAAGCTAAACTTATATTTCTTCTGAAATTAATGTCCCATCACTCTCTTAAATCTTTGAAGTGAAATCTAATTCTAAAAAGAGTAAAATCTCTCATTCTTAAAAATTGACAATTGAGCCAATTCTTCTTCAATACTGGCTCAATTGTCACTCTTTGGTATTCACAGTCCATTCTTATTTTAAGACTGTCTTAAGTAATGTTTTGAGATGCTAATGCAGCCCTCTGATTGGCTTATGAGACTATACTTAAGACAGCCACAAATAAGAATTGACTATGAATACTCTGATTGGTCCTTGACACCTTGAGACTTAAGACGGTTCTAAATCTAAAATCCTATGAATACCGCGCGCTTTTTGTCATTCTTTAAAATTAGATTCCACTCAAAATATTTTAAAGAGTACGGTATCATTTAGCATACACATCGATTCGGAATTTGAGGGCCATAAAATAAGCTAAAAAATGTATGTACTTTGGAGTAATTTTTTATACGATCGTAACAAATAGGAGACACACGGAAACGGCGGAAGAATACCGGGATTAATTGTTAGGCGCAGTTAAAAAACAAAAATGAGCACCATAAGACCAAATGACCGAAATTACACGATGTCGTTGCCATCGACGTTGTCGCGTAGCTGCCAAGAGTACGACGTAACGTGATAAATGCAACTTTGCATAAATGTGACGCGACGACGGCAAAATGAGAAAGGTTGGAAGTGCCATCGAAGCGCGTGCGCCTAATTAAAAAGTAAAACGCTACATAGCCTCGCGTACACAGTACGTTACGTGCACGCGCATAATGCGCGCCGCATTTTCGCTCGTTTTGCATCCGGCGAACTGGCTGCCGACGCTACCACTCGCTTTAGTTTGAGGCTCGGCGAACCGTGATATCCTCGAATCGCGCGATATAGAACGCGCGATTAACGAAACAAGCGTAAATCATCGGAATACTCGCCGGCTGATTCAGAAATTCCCTCATTAGAACGGTTCGCTCCACGCATTCTGCCAGTGAATTTGGCTATCGCGAGAATCGTTGCAATGTCGAACATTAATTTGGGCATATATTAAGAATACGTACTTGGGACTTCGTACTCAAATCCGAAGTGGTCGCATGGTCGCAAGTCGTTTTCTAGTCCGAATGTTCCTTAAGCCATGTTCACACTTGCAATAAAACATCATAACTACAACGCCATCGCATAAACTTTGAGTTCGGCGAACATTTAAGCGCAACATAACTTCGGTGTAAGCATTCATTACGCTTAAATGTTTGATGCGATGTTATAGGGATCCACATGGTGTTGCGTGGTGTAATCAATGTTACGATGGGTGTTAACCTTCGAAGGATGGCATTTATCATTTAAAGAACAATTATTGCTTTTGCTCGAAAATAACATGTAAGTAAAAAATCTATTATATATATATATGTATATATATATATTGTTTGAGATCGGTAATTCGAAAGAAAAGCAAGCGATTCAAAGACAGATTCTTTGTAATATTTTAAGACAAAAATGTTAAGGTTATGATAGTTTATAAATGACAAGGCCAGAATTTTGTGCGGGTGGTAAGATGATCAGCATAAAGTGCTGAATTTTTTTTTATTGTCAAATTTCATAAAATTCGAAGAAGCATCTTCGAGGAAGCACTAAAATATTTTTTACTATAATGGCGGATAAAGTATTATATTTCAGTGTTCAATGTTACACATATTTCCATCTTCAGTTCTTAAGTATAATTAATTGACATAAATCCCGAATTTATCTCAAACTTAATTTTAAAATGAATGTTGCAAATTGCAACTCCTATCCCTGAAAAGTTAAATATCAAACTAGATATTGAGATTAAGATTAAAATTGAATTTGATCAATCAAAGCAAAGTTTACTAAACTTGATACTGATTTCCTTTCTTCTGATTGATTAATTTCACTTTTAATCTCAATCTCAATAGTCTGATACAGGCATTACACGACGACATTGCAGTGATAATGTTCTGTTGCTTAAAGCGTGGACACGGCTTTAAATGTCTCGTTTAGATATTAAAGTAGCAGATACCCAAGAGTGCGATAACACTCGTTTCCCAAGAAAGGATTTCTCTCCCACAAAGGAATCATTTTAATTAGATCGTTAATTAAAATTAATAACAACATCCTGCGCCGGATGGCAGCGTTCCGCTCATTCGAAACAAACGGCGCATTACATTAATGGATCCTAATATCCGTGTACGCGACACGTTTTAATTAACGCAGACAATAATTAGTCGGAATCGCGGGAGCATCGACCGACGTAAATCGGATTATATGGGGCGTTGCACGAATTTTCGATGGCCGATAGTGGCGTGCGGTACGACATGATCGACACAGCGATGTCGATAGACGAGAAGGATTTCTCTGTAGGCTTTACGTGTTCATATATAATTATCCAACGTAACCACGGGCATTCCCAGCAGAAATGTAATTAGACTGTCGCAGAGATTTGAGCGAAATGGAGAATTTCTCATGAGTTGTGGAATATCAAAATGGAATGACAACAACCGTATCGTTGCAAAGCACTGTTCTGTTATAATCTAGTATATTAAAGAAACAATAATTTTACGATGGTTACTTCTTTTCACAAAATTAGATAAAATATTAATATACCCGCATCTTTTTCTCTAATCATTATGATTATAATCGTTTCGGCAGAGTGTTACAGTGAATAATGTAGAGTGCATAATCGCGTTTTTGCATTGGTGCATCGAGTTGCCGTTGCATTACAGCTAATTATAATAATGATCAGCTATTTCAACCCGCACGTTTTCGCGAGAGCGAGATAACAGATATTAAATGGAACATTTGTGAAAATTAATATGTATATTTTACATGGGCATATGTACGCTGCAACAAACAGCTTGCTTCAAGAGTGCGTTGCAATTAATTGCAACGTTCAAAAACGCGTTTCATAACTGACTGAACGATAATTCGAAATAATCAATTACACAATAATTTGATTGCACATAAGAATATATTCGGAAGTAACAAAGTATAAGCTGTCTGTGCAACAAAACGCACAGATAAAACGATGTAAATCACATGTAAAATACGATAGAAAAACGATAGAGTTGGCAGTTTATGGAGGAAGACATTCACGGTCGTAAAACGTTCTTATTAAACAACCAATCATTCGCAATATTGAATGGTAAAATCTTCCATAAAATCATATCATAAATTTGTGGATCACAAAATTATGTTCGTAGCCATGTATTACGCAGATAAATTTTCTTTGTGGAGATAATAAATTTACTCACGATACGTCTCATTATTTCGACAGGTACACAGTACAGTTAGTCCATTCAATATGTTTTTAAATAATAAAAATACGAAATAATTCACCATCTCGTAAAAAATAAAACAATTCGATTTCGGCTTGGTCGAGTACCTCGTTAACCGTAACAAGGGAGCTTGAAATTTTTGCTTAAATAATTAACGCCCCCGTTACGTATTGTTTGTGATCTCAGACGAAAACGTTAGTCACCACCGCAAACTGTGGAAGCGAATAAGACCGGCGACGACGAGGACGACGAGGACGACGATAGAAGGAAACACGAGACCCTCAGACTTACAAAGAGCATAGA